TGGTTTTTCTTTACAAAACTTTATGAATTTATTTTGTGTGCCCATTCAGAGAATATCATATTTTGAATCAGAAACCGTGACAAATATTATGATTCGTTTCGCCTCATCTGGTTGTATATTTTGCTGATTAATATCATAATCTATGGCATCTTTCGCATGTATAGCACCACGGTAGATGTTCCAGTAAACTTTAGGTTCTTCATTTTGACGTTTTGGGCTGGTTACTTCACCAAATACAGCTGAACGAGTTCCATTTTTATTATTCAGCTTGTAATCTGGTATTCGACTATGATGGCCTCGACGTAATTTAGATGCATTAGATGCCACATCAATCCTAAAAATAACAGGTATTAATTGGTTTGCTTCTAAAAAATTAAATATAAAATATCATACCATGAATACGTGGTTGTATAATTAAAATAATGTATTGTTCTATTAAACATCTCATTCGTGTCTGTTGAGGGATCCAACAGTACACATTCTTCCAAAAGTCTAAAAAATGCTCTGTTTAGTAGCCTATCCCTGAATTGGTTCCCGACATATTGCTTTAGAAATCTTTAACCTCTTCCAGACTATCTTGTTGATAATCCTAATAAACGCAATATAATAATCCATGAAAATGATTTATTTTGAACACATTATAATATAAAACTTAATTCGCAAACCTTTTTATTTTCTTGCACAAACTCCTTTACTCCATTTGGAATTTCTATCATCTTGAACTCTGAGATTACGCGTGATTGAATATCGGCAATCTCATCTGCTGTTAGGAAGCCATTATATACCTGCTCGTTTTCTTTTTTAAAATAAAAGATTGAAGAAGCAACAAGAATACAGTGTATGTTCCGCTTTGATGGGTACTGAATTCCATGATCTAATTGATTAAGGCTGTGTTGTTGCCATTTCAATAGCTTAGCTTCCCAGCCATCTGAAATTTTTTCAGTTTCTGTGACCATCTTTCGGATTGTTGATAATTCCGAAGGCTCAAATAATAACACACACTCTTCCTATAAATAAACAAATTCACTATCGGATTCATCTCTCCTTCACATGATCACTGTATATTATCTAACAATATATCTCATACCTCAAATTCTTCGTCATCGGTTTCTGATTCAAAATATGATATTCTCTGAATGGGCACACAAAATAAATTCATAAAGTTTTGTAAAGAAAAACCACCAAAGAAATTTAATATCTGATAGTGTTGTTACCTTTTTTGCCCGTCCTCGAGTTTGACCCCCACAATTGTCCTAAGGTGTTAAATTTAAAATTATTCGCTCTGCTGATTTCAAACCTCTAGTTAAAAAAAATGTGAATAGATATCTCTCCTTGTTCTTCTCTGAGTATATTTGTATTCGCACCGAAAGTTTTGGTGTTGATTGTCCCTCCATAGATCGTTCCAGTGTTTGAAATTTCCGTATATGTCGGTTGATGAACATGAATTTGCTTTCGTGAGCGCTCTTGTTCCCATTGCCTAGCCATTATACGATCAGGTCGAGGATCCTGGCATTGAAGATTCAGGAAGTTAATAATACTCTTAGTACGCCCAATTCACTATCCTACTGTATTTTCCATCCCATCTGAATATCAGGCAACCTAATAAGCCACCTGTATCCAGTGG